TGACAATCATATTTACATTATGAAACTCGACTTAATATTACCACAACAAAAAGGCATCAAAACATACAAAATGCCACTGACTGCAGAGTCTGCTTTATTTTTAACAGTATTGCCATATAAGAGGTACATTAAATTTAATTAATTTAACAAAAAAAATTGAACAATATCTTATATTTCTTTTAATTATAGATTTGTGTTGTTCTATAACTTGTGAGTAATTTAATATGCAGAATTTATATTACAGATTCATAAGTAGTGGAATCATAAATTTACATAGAAACGTATAAGATTTAAATAATCACATGTTAGTTTGTGATAGATAATTATAATAATGTTTTAATAGAAGTGAGAAATATGTGTGGGATATGAATTGACTAGGTTCGATGGAAATCCAGAAATGATTGTTTTTTCCACAAATAAAATGTAATATAGATATTTTATTGGGATTTACGCGAATACAGAATTTTGAAGGAATGGGTATATATATATATATGTGGCCTCGACGGCAGTCGTCACGATCTTTTACATGTGTTCGCTCGCACGGTCTTTTCCCGACTGCCGGGTCGCTCGCGATCGCGTCAACACGCCCGAGTTTTCACGGGCATCGCCAAGGTCCATCAAAAACCCTCGCAAAACAATATAACGGGTGGAGCGGACAGAAAGCCGTGCTCCATCCCACACTCGGCCATCCGACGACTTCTGACCTCAGATGTCTATTCCAAAACAGCGTCTTCAGAAGAATCGCTCCAAGGCTTCATGTGATCCGCCGCCGAGGATGTCATACGAGGACCTTCTCCTTCGCCAATCTTCTGCACTATGTATCTATCATTCCGAAGAACTCGTTTAATCCGATATGGACCAAAATATTTCGCAGCAAACTTCAGACCAGGTCCGCCTTGTGTCCGTTTAATGGCAACCAAATCATTTTCCTTATATATACTTGGTGCTTTTCTCTTTCTGTCATAGCTCCGTTTGTTTTCTTCCTGAATTTTAGCGATTGCTTCTTTTGCTTGTCGTCGCGTTTCGCTACGTTTCTCTAAAAATGCCGCAGCTTCTTCTTCTTCAAGAAGATCCTTAAGTATGAGATCTTCTTTCGTCTTTATTTGCGTGCCAAATAAAAGATAAAATGGCGATGCGCCTGTGCTTCTCGAAGGTACGCTATTTAGATATCGCTGAGTTCTCATTACATATTTATGCCATTGAGCAGGATTCGGTGCTGACAACTTTGTCAACATTGGAATCAAAATACGGTTAATCCGCTCAACTTGCCCGTTTTCTCGTGGGACTCCGGTAACGACAGTGATATGCTCAATATTTTCGTCTTTACAATAAGTTTCGAAGTCATTCGCAGTGAAAGCCGTTCCTCGATCAGAAATGATCCTTCTCGGATTTCCGAAAACAGCGCTCTGTTGCGTCAATCTGTCTAATACTTCGGCTGCGTTTGTGGATTTCGTGGGGCATAACCAGACAAATTTCGTAAAAGCATCGATTACTACGAATAAATGACGATACTTCTTTTGTGTAGACGGCAGGGGACCCAAATGATCCACGTGATACGTATCTAGCGGACTTTCACCTTTTGGGATAGGATGTAAGCAGCCTTCTTGTTTTCCAGATTTTCTCTCAGCCAGAATACAGCTAATACAATTTCGGACAATCTTTTCGATCTTACTACGCATTCCCTTGAACCAATAATTCATCTTTAGCAGCTTCTCCGTTTTGTCTGGACCGAAATGGCCACGCTCGTGAGCTTGTCGTATAATATTGTTTTGCATTAGCTTTGGAACTACAATTAGCGTATCTCCGTTCAACTTCTTGTGTAAAAGTCCATTTTTAATAACGTATCCCTCCGCTTGGTTACTTATTGCTTGGTCTCGGATGCCTACCAACTCCTCATCTTCTGCTTGATTTTTTTGCAGCCTTGCAATGATGCCCTCCTGACATTCCGTTATGAGCATTGCAGTTGGCAATGCATTTTGACTGAGCGCATCGACATGTCGCATACTCTTTCCGGGCCGATGTTCGACAACATATTGAAAATCCTGCAGGAACAAAGCCCATCGTGCAATCCGCGTGCAGACGTCCGTCTTCTTCATTGTTTGCGCGAACGCCTGACAATCTGTTACAATTTTAAACGGTATACCTATCAAATAAATTCTAAATTTTCGCAACGCCTTAATAATTGCTAAAACTTCCAACTCGTAGCTATGAAATTTTGCTTCGCTATCGGTGGTCTTGCCACTTGCGTAGTACACCGGATGAAAAAGACGATCTTCGCTATCTCTTTGTAGTAAAATAGCCCCGTAACCTTGTGACGAGGCGTCCGTGTGCAGCTCCGTTTCCGCGTTTGGGCAATAGATTCGTAAAATAGGTCTTCTCGCCAAAGCCTCCTTCAACTGATCGAACGCGCGCGTTTCTTTGTCACCAAAAAAAAATTTAACTCCCTCCTTTAACAATTCGGTCAGAGGATGTGCAACAGATGCATATTTCGGGATAAACCTTCGGAAATAGCCAGTCAACCCTAAAAAGCTTTGCACCGCTCTTCTATCGTTCGGTATGGGAAAATATTTTACCGCGTTAGTTTTTTCGTCGGAAGGTGTAACGTCTCCGTCCTCTATAATAAATCCTAGATAATTTACTCTAGTTTTCAAAAACTGGCATTTCTTCCAATTTATCCTCAACCCGTACGAACTTGCTACTTGTAATACTTCTTTTAAGTGTAATAACTCTTCTTGACAATTTTTTGATGGAATAATTAAGTCATCCATATATATTGACACGACATTTTTTTGCCACTAAGTCAGCAAATACTGCGTTGACGTATTTTTGAAAATATGCTGGCGACGTACTTAAACCGAAAGGCATGCGCAAGAACTCGTAGTGACCGTTTGGAACTATAAATGCCGTATATTTGCGACTATCATCCGCCACGCGAACATGAAAAAAACCATTCTCGAGATCTATTGTACTAAAAATTTTAGCTCCTCGCAAACGATCAATCTGGTCCTCTATAATTGGTAAAGGATACCGCGTTTTTATTATTTTCTCATTAAGTTTCCGATAATCAACGCATACTCTCGTAGCACCATTTTTTTTCTTAACCAGCACGACCGGGCTGGCATAATCAGAATACGATTGTTGAACAATGCCCTCGTCTAACCATCTGTGTATTTGTTCGTCAAGCGTCCTTTGTTCGGGTACAGCCAGCCTACGAGCACGCTGGTATACAGGAGTCTCGTCCTTCAGCACAATGTTTAGCTCGATACCTACGTCTCGAATTTTCTCGGGTTTATAACTCGATATTATTTCTCTTATTTCGTCTTTACACTCTGATCCATAATGTGCTCTATGTTTACATCGTTTACTTTATCGCCAAGGTCGATCCTGTTTACAGCAGGCAATTCGGAAAATGCTTTAGCAGTTTTTGAAATTTTAACGACACCTTCTTTTACTTGCAACTCGACATTATTTAAAAAATCTGTTCCGATAAGAATCGCGTGCTGCAACAGCGCATCAGGGACCACGTGAAACGTTACGCCGAAAAAACATCCGTCCACACAAACGCTAACATATACTTCACCTAATGTTACATTTTCATCTGAGCCAACACCGCGAAATTTCATTTGCCTCTTAATTAACGCCGGCGCTCCGATTTTAACATAAGAATCCGCGCGCATCAGACTGATGTCACTCCCGGTGTCGATTAAAGTCGATAACTCGACCGAGTTTATCGCAACGGTTTTACAACAACTTTTCGTCTCACCCTGCGTCGCGTTACAGTTTTTTTCTTTATTCGTCTGTTTGTTCTCTACCGTAGGACATTTAGCAGCAACATGTCCGTGTGTGCCGCATCGAAAACATTTAACGCCTTTTCTCTTCACCGAGCATTCCGCGATCAAATGATTTTTATCGCCGCAAATGTAGCACCGTTTATCAATTTGCTTACTATCGTTTTCCGCGCGTATAAATTTCCTTTTCCGATCCTCCGTCTTGGAATGCCTAGATCTAATTTTCATTATTTCGTATATATCTAATTTATGTTTCAAGTCCGAAATACTTCTCGCGCCGTACAAAACAATTTTATTTACCTCATCGTCCGCTATACCATCTATTATATATTGTATTACCGCGCTGATTTCTAATTTCGCCCTGGAGGCGATTTCCAACATCTGATAGCAGTATTCGTGATACGTCTCATCAGTTTTCTTCTTCCTCCTTTGTAATTGAAAATGTACATCGTGGCTATTGGTCTTCTGGGAAAACTCGCGCTTCAAGACAGTTCTGATGTTCTTCCACGTCTTCCTCGTGCTTCATACTTTACGAATAGCTTTGCTGATCCACGCAAAAGTCTCCTTACATATATCGTCTTTTGCACGTCGTTCCACTGACACAGGCTTGCTGTTTCGTCAAAATCTCTGATCCACTGCTTAACGTTCTTGCCATCATCACCGCTAAATGTATCGATAGCATCTTCAACGTCTTTAAATGTCAATAAACACCTCTCACGTTTCCGTAACGGCTCCTGCGACGGCCCTTGCCTCCGGCCATCCTCCGACGCATCACTGAGCTCTGACTCATCACCAGACTCGCAATCCACCTGACCGCGCACACCACCGTCGTCGCTACTCTCGTCTCCGTCCTCCTGACCCTCGAGAAACACCGCCGCCCGAAACCGCTCCACCAGATCAGCTTTGTTGCCTGTCGTCCTCAATTTTCGTCGTCTTAACTCGTCTCTAAGCTGGACAATCGTCATAGCGTCCGCCTGCACAACGTCTCTCGCTCCATCGTTCCGTGCGGTTCCGCCGTCGCTCATCATTACACCACCTTCAAACCCGCCTCCTTCCATCCGATGCGTAATCCCGGACGAGCCCCCAAAAATTTACTTGTAGGATATGAATTGACTAGGTTCGATGGAAATCCAGAAATGGTTGTTTTTTCCACAAATAAAATGTAATATAGATATTTTATTGGGATTTACGCGAATACAGAATTTTGAAGGAATGGGTATATATATATATATGTGGCCTCGACGGCAGTCGTCACGATCTTTTACATGTGTTCGCTCGCACGGTCTTTTCCCGACTGCCGGGTCGCTCGCGATCGCGTCAACACGCCCGAGTTTTCACGGGCATTGCCAAGGTCCATCAAAAACCCTCGCAAAACAATATAACGGGTGGAGCGGACAGAAAGCCGTGCTCCATTCCACATATGTATATTTTTCAGATATTTGTATTGAACAGAAGATTCTTTAATAGTGCAAACGGATTTCAACGGAAGAAACAAATTACATATGGAAGACAATAAATGCTTCTGCCTGAAGACATTTTTAGGATTGTTACAAATTAAGTACGCTCTCATGACGATTGATACAACGAATATTGACGAGCCACTAATATATTGGATAATAAACAATGAATATTTAATCGTAACGGATATTAATGGTTGTAATTGCAATATGATTTTAAGATCTTCAAATCAATCAATTTATCGTTTTGATGATTTATCAATTGATAGTATAAATATTTACTTGTTTGGTTATCCAGAAATATATATAATATTTTAAGAAAGGGAAATGCTCTTCTCGAAAGCCAAAAAAACATATTTGATAGTCTTCAAAATATCCATTTTGGAGAGTTCTATTATTCTAGTATCATAACTCTTGCTCAAAGTTTACAACAACCATATCCCCGAAGATATGTCTAATACCTACAAAGGATTATCGTGTTGAAGAAGTGTCAATAACTGCAGACAGCATTAACGTGAACCTTCCGGAGCCGATTCTCAATGATGAATGTAAAAGTACAACTTAGTTTTTATATATAACATTTCTGTGAGTTATTTCAAATGTTTAGACAATGATCTTTACAAATTCAAAGAATTTTATGTCCAAACGTACGAACGGCAGCACAAAATTCCGAATTTGACGCAGTTTACAGAATACACGTTAAAGCTGGCACTAAGCAATTTTTACATCCACAAGAAATCGATGGATTTGCAATTCGGCCCAGATGTAAAACTGATAACTACGAGCAAGCTCTATGCACCGGATGATGTAGTAGTTCAAGTTGTAATGCCAAATCTGGCGGTAATTGATTGGATGCCACCGAAAAAATTAGATTGCGTGGCAGTGAATTATGAGGTGAAATGGATGCAATATTCAAATAGCACTCAAGAAAATCAAAATTCGTTTCGCTTCATAAAAGTCAATAAACTAGAACATACGACAAATGGCAAAATTTTTGCGGTAATTCGGTCACTGATACCAAAGCAAAAATACGAGATATACGTGAGTGCGTATCCAATTATTCGCACAGGTGTCGTCACTGACAGTGTAATAAAAACATTCTACATGGCCGAACCGAATAATTTAAGTTTGAATGGGATCGATACAAACAGTATGAATATCTCGTGGATTCCAAGCGTTAATCTGACGATTCCTACTGAATTCCTTATACTGGAATACAAAAATGCTGCGTCACGGAAAAGGATATGGGAAATTGCAAATAATATTGAGAAGAATAATGATAAAATAACATATCACATAGAAAATTTATTACTGCAAACTAAGTACAAATTTCGTTTGAACTTAAAATATACTGAGTATAAAGAAGATTTCATATGGCCGTCTGATGGAGAAGAATTTATTTTTGAAACACTCGGTAAGCAAATGAAGACGTTATGATAACATATGTTTACTTTAAGAATATCTTATCAGTATTTTCGCATTAGAAATTGAATAATGAAGTTTTAAGTAAAATATCTTAATAATAATTGATAAATATGTGCATGAAGAATCGCCAGATAAAATTAAAAATAAAATAATGAACACCCGATTAAACTGGCATAATTTTATTAATTCATTTTACAACGTTTTAACCATGATTTAGGTCCTCAGCAAGTGATTTGCGAAATGTAGTTTTAATTTTAAGAAGTAAGCGAGTGAGTACATTGTGTAAAGCTGACGTCACGTCCTTGACATTACTTGGCTTACTTCCTAAAATTTTAACTACATTTCGCAAATCACTTGCTAAGGATTTAAATCATGGTCGAAACGTTGAGAAGTAAATTAATAAAATTTTGCCAGTTTGGTCGAGAGAAGAGTGTTCATCATTTTATTTTTGAGAAATATGTGTCGACAAACTGGCAATTTATTAATCTTATTACGTTTCATCCCTTCCTTGGTGTCCATTTCAAGTAATGTAGTTCTTAGATATTATGATAAAATATCTTAAATAAAAAGTCCAATAAAACGAAGAATTGTACTCTTGTGTAACAAAGGTGATGCAAGAAAGATTCCTAGCGCAACTGGGACAGCTATGCAATATTATCTGCCATTAATATTATGTCTTATTGTAATCATTGTAATATACAATGTTTATTACTTTTATTGTAGTAAGTATATTTCATATAAATTTTGGATTATTATTATAAATTGTTTAGATTTGGTATAATATACGAACATATAAAATTTTGAAAAAATCGGCATTATTTCCTTAAAAGAATTAAGACATTGCAATGCGTAGCATTTTGTCGTGTATTAAAAGTTTTTTTATAATGACAGCATACAGGCAACACAAAGAAAGTACGAAATAGTTTGCCTCCAAAATGATGAATACGGAATTACTACCTTTAAATAAATACCTTTCGGGTGCACTCAACTAAATTTGCTGAACCCTCCTAGATTGCAATATAATTCAGACGAATTTGCGGTTGACCATAATCGAAAAAATCAAATTAGCCAAACAAAGTTTCTAAGTAGCGGCGCATTTGGTAATGCAAGTATTAATTTTGTTATTACTTAAATATATTTTCAATATTTTTTTATTTTTTAATCGCTTAATTTATGGTAAAACATATTTTAAATAAAAGTAATTGTTAAAATTAAAATTTCTCTCAAAAAGTCAAAACATGATAAACTTTTTTTCTACATTTTATCGATTTGTCTGTTATTACTTATGTAACATTTCACAGGTATATTAAGGAATCATCAAGATTTGAAGGATGGACACAACATCAGTGCGATAAAAATGCTAAAAAACAAGCTTCTTCGAAAGAGAAAAAGGAATTCTTGAAAGAGGCTAAACTTATGAGCCACTTTCACATGAAATGTGCTAAGAATATTAGGCATTTGTTTGAACACGGATTCACTGTTACTTATATTGGAATTAATAGAACCTGGTGACTTATTGAATTATTTAAGAATTAATGGAACATTGCAATCTTTAGATTCGTGCGCGTGCGTCTGAAAGGCTTGCTCGCCATGTGCGAAGATGTTGCTCGAGGCTGTTGTTACTTAGAAAGGCAACAATTTGTGCATAGAGATCTCGCGTGTCGAAATTGCTTAATATCCGTAAGAAATCATGGAACCGTATTGTAAAAATTGGACT